ACAAACTCTAGGGACCATAAAAGTCAAAAAGATTTTCAAAGGGGGTAAAAGGAAAATTAAGAGAGGAATAATTTGGTGGTATGTTAATGATATGAGAATCATCCGTCACGATCTCTGTGGACTAAAAACAGACTGCCTTTTTGACTGTCAGTCCACGTGGCTGAGTGTGTGGTAATTATCCAATAAATATATATTTTAAAATATATAAATATGCAATAAATCTTGTTTTAATTTTTTATTTAAATTAATAATGGAATTTTTTTTCTTAATTTCATGTGATATTTAATTTTATAATACAACAAGGAGTCTGATATGTGTGTGAGTCAATAGGTGAGTAAATCCACAAGGCGCAAGGAAGTTGATTGACGGGATCCTCCTTGCGGGATGCACCGTCGACCGACCTTGATCTTCTGAGAAGGGTTGAGTGCGAACATGTCTGTCGGGACCCGAAAGATGGTAAACTATGCCTGAGCAGGACGAATGACGAAGTCAGAGGAAACTCTAATGGAGGCCCACAGCGATACTGACGTGCAAATTGTTCGTCAGTTAACTTAGACCTTGTAACCATTGATAATGTAGATGTAAAAATTTTAAGTTACATTATAATTCTGATGACGTAGAAAACCCTTACACCAAAATCAACTGATGTCATGTAGATTAAAACACTGTTTATAAAAATGGGTATGAAATTATAAAAAACCGAATGCTTGTTATATTAATCGGAAAAGAAATTATTAATGACACTAAATAGAAGATAATATTCGTTATATTTCAAGATGGAAAAGCTTCATTTAACTCGGGTTTACGTAGCAGTGAACCTGTTTTTGTGACGAGACCCCTCATAACCTGGCTAGTTTTATAATTATCCCTTTTAACATTACCCATGATTCATTTCACCTTTCAGTTAGTGGTGTTCATGAGTTGGGTCGATTGAGTTGAAGACATTTGAACAACCTAAGCCAATGTTTGTTGTTTGAAAAATCTCAACCCAACCCAATCCAAACCAAAGTGCAAATGTGCACATAACCCATGTGGGTTGGTCGGGTTGATACTTTGGTACATCAAGATGTTCTTCTATGCTTTTTCACTGATTATATGTTGTTCTCTACTCATAATTCATTTTTCATCATAAAATTATTTTGTAGAGCTTATCCATACTCATTCTTAAGTACATCACATTCAACTAGTTTTTCTCAATTTGCATATATATGTTCACATTTTTTTTTATTAACTTGGATATTCAACCCGTTATGTGAGCCGACTAATCCCAAGGCAACTACCTGCTTTGCAGATAGCTCGGAGTCACATCATTTGAACCTCCGTGGCCACAAGGGGATTTTTATTTCTTCTTGGATTTGAACATGAGACCTCCAAGTACTTTTGACCTTTGGAGCCAAGCTCAAACAAATCAAGCACCACCCTTGTGGTTTATATGTTCACATTTACTGAACATATATATGAAAGAACTATATAGAGATGGAGAAGAGATTGAAAATATATGTATATGAAAAGAGTACGTGATGGTGTAATTGTTCAATGTACATACTAATAGGTTTTAACAATCATATTAAATCCAAAAAATAAAAGAATATCAGGTTCAAATGACCGTAACCAAATTCCAACCCAATACATACGGTTTAAAGATTTTAAAACTCGATTAAGCATCAGACTCCTTCGGGTTGAGTTATTTCGCATTAAGTTGGTTTGAGTTAACTGGGTTTTTGAATACCCCTACTTTCAGTAATCTAAACACGTCCCTAAAAGGAAAAATACGAAACAATACGTATAAAAACACGTAATAATCATGATATCTGATTTTGGCATGGAAAGGTTGGAACAAAGGTTACCTTTGAGAACAGGATACAACTATTGAAGCTACAGTACTACTCGTGCAACAAGAGAGTACAACTCACAAAGCATTAAGCTTCAAAGAACACTGTGTGTGTGTGTGTTTCAGTGCGTGTGTGTGTGTTTCTCTGTGTGTGTGTGTGTTTCAGTGTGTGTGTGTGTTAAGTTGTAGTCCCTTCTCCTTTAATTTTGGATGATAGTGCTTTGTTTCTTAGTATCCACCTTCACCTGCCCCCAAGGCATTTACAAGTCATAAATACTTTATTTTTTATTAATAGTTGAATATACTTTTTTAATTAATCATGGGCTATATTATAAAACATTTGACAAAGACTCATAAAAACTATTTTTTATGTATGAAATATTGTTTATTTATGCATATTACTTAAATCAATACTAATTGGATCAACTAATGTGGTGCAGCTTATTAATTACCGTGATAAGTGAAATTCATAGGATAGGGGAGAGATTGAAAGTGATCAATGGTCCATATCCCTTCTTACGTTTTTCACCATAACTCTTATTCTCATACAATCCTCCGTCCTATATATATATATATATACATATACATATATATATATATATGTGTGTGTGTGTGTGTATGTTCAAACAAGAATATTGTCTAAATAAGAAAATAAGAGGATGAATTTTAACCAATCATTTATTTAAATCATGTTTTAAATAAACTTTTTTAAACATAGCTCAACAAGGCATATGTGTCATTTCTTGAATATGAATTATATATTGAAATTCATTTATTTATATAAAGGTATTTAATGTATTTAATCAATGTATTTACTTATAATCTATCACATGTAAATACTAAATCAGAGACACAAACAACCTTTGCCGTGACCTAGATCATGGGCCGAGTCTTCCGCACACCACCTAATCCCCTCACGTGTATTATCACATGTGATAAAAAGTGTTCTCGTGTTTTAGCAAAAGGGAGGCGTTCTCGTTTGAACCTCTACCTATATACGTAGTATTGTATATTTTTAGTAAATAAGAAAACAAGTAGCCCATGTTTTTAAAATATTCCAAAATTCAAACTTACAACTAATTACTACGTACAACTGTTTAAAGCTCTACATTTAAATTTCAAAAAACTAACAGATAAATAAGTTCAAATACAGTATAAACATCGAGTCTTACTAACCAAGGTTTAACCCATCGCCAGTTACTCGTCTCACACATTCACAAAACAAATACGCAACAACCAACACCATACAGATTTTTAACATTAATAATTCAAACGTTATAACGATTTTAAAACCTATAAACATAATAATAATGGATTACAGTTGCAATTCACAATAACAATCGTTCAATCTTTTAAGATAACAAAAAAAAAATAGATCTTTATACAGGGTTGTCTGTTTTCGTGAGACCCGTGAAACCATTTTTTTACATTTAAAACTTCACAGTAAAACACTGTGAAGGTAAAGAAAATCCGAACATTCACTGAAAGTTTCAAGTGTAAAGAAACAGTCTCACGGGTTTCACAAAAATAGACTGGTCTCACATGACAGTATCATTTTACAGCATGCGGGTTAGTATTGGATGGTAAACCCTTTATAAAAAGGGACCATCCTTGCCAAGAGAAGCGTGTTAAAAAAGTAAATTCCATGACTCATCATCATCATCATTCAATAAAGAAAACCCTTCCATTCTACTCATTCATTCAAACAATTTGGTACTTGTTTCTAAACAAAAACACTTCTTCTTTTTTGTTGTTGTAATTCCTTTACGTTATTCGGGTATAACTTTGTTTGTAATTAAACCTGAAGGGCGTAAGATTCTTGTAACGCCCCTCGTGCAGATCCAATAACTGCTAAGATCATGCTTGATAACCATAAACCAGTTTCTTTTTTGAGCTTATTGGAAAAGTCCCGTTTAAAATGGAAATGACTAGGAACGAATTTTCATTCCACCCAGTTTAACCAGAAATAAAATATTGGGCTTCTGGAATCTGGAGGAGTGAACTCATTATATTATATAAAACCAAACAGTTTTTTTTTTTTTTTTGATTAACCTGGATATCCAACCCATTATGCGAGCCGACTAATCATAGGGCAACCACCTGCTTTGCAGATAGCCTGAAGTCACCGCATTTGAATTTCCATGGCCACAAAGGGATTTTTATTCCTCCTTGGATTTGAATTTGAGACCTCCTGGTACTTTTGATCTTTAGAGTCAAGCTCAAACCAATCAGACAAACCCTTATGGTTGTGAGATTGAATTGTTATAATCACCAATCTCAAGGTGTTCTTGGATTCTCCCTTGAATAAATAAATAGCATATGAGAATGTGAGAGTATTTAATGGCCAAACTCAGGGAATGTTTGATTCTTGATTGTCCCTATCTTAAAACACCATGGAATGAAAGAAAATCCATCAAGAAACTACCAAAATTCAACAACACATGTATCTAAACAATCAAAACACATTGGGTGGCCACTGACTCTAAAACCCATTAAAGATTTCCTTTTTTTTTTATGTGGGTGTTTAATATTTTAAATAATTCAAGAAAATGGTGGAATTTTTTGGAGGGTAAGCGTAGATAAGCAGGAGCCTATGTGTACTGACTAATTTTTCGGATGCCCACGAATGATCTGGGAATATCACGTATGAACCTTCGTAATCACAACGGTTTTGCCAGCACCTAGATTCGAACCTAGACATCCCCCAAATCTTGACCGGTTAACCACAAGTTCAAAACAAGAAGAGGTGAATTCTTGTGGGATGATATAATAATCTCCATAACATCCATCTGCTATACTTTTTTATGTGGCAAAATGCTTGATTTAAGCAAGAAAAGGATTAAGGGGAACACCATCAACCCATCATTTCTCTTCCTTCAATAATTTGACCTTTATTTGTTGGTTGCTTTATTTTAGTTTAAAGTTTACTCAAATTGTCAGGCCAAATGACAAAAGTAATATTATTTTCATTTCCCTTTTTTGCCCCTGACCCAGTTGCCAGGCATGCTACTTCTTCTTTATACTACAAAAAACAACCAAAAGGGCTCAGCCTGCTTTTTTCTTGGGTCTTTCAGATCATTGTGCAAATGGGTATCATCAAGTTTCAAAATTTAAAGGTTTAGAAGTTGCATTTTTCTTGAATCATCTTGTAGTTGAGCTCTCTATTGAAATGAGAGTGAAAGGAAAGATGGTTGATTTCTGGTTCTTGATATGGTTCTTGTGGCTTTGGGGTTGTTCTAATGGCTTGCTTTCCCCTAAAGGTGTAAACTTTGAAGGTAAATTTGAATCTTTTTGATGAAATATGGTTCTTAGAAGGTTAAAAATGGAGTTTCTGAATCTGGGTTTTTGTGTTTTCAGTTCAAGCTTTAATGGGTATAAAAGCTTCATTGTTGGATCCTCATGGTGTTCTTGAAAACTGGGATGCTGATTCTGTTGACCCATGTAGTTGGACCATGGTTACTTGCTCTACTGAAAGTCTAGTTATAGGATTGTAAGTCTTTTCTTCATTAAATTCACACACATTGTGTGTATAAGTGTGTGCAACCAGTTGGGTTCAGGGATGCAGCAGAAATGGAGGTTCACCTCTGATGACTCTACATGCCATTCATGAGTCGATACGCGTAAGCTGGCCCGGATACCCGTGGTTACGCAAAAACTGTGTTGTGTGTGTGATCAGATATTTGAATTCTTGAATTCTCAGGGGTACACCTAGTCAGAACTTATCTGGGACACTTTCTTCAAGCATTGGCAATTTAACCAACCTGCAGATTGTGTAAGTTTAGAATCAAATCATTCAAAATCCTGTAAAAATGCCAAATGGGTGTCTGTTAATGGTGTTTAATGAGTGATTTTGATGCAGATTGTTACAAAACAACAACATTTCTGGGCCAATCCCAGAAGAAATTGGTAAATTGAAGCAGCTTCATACACTTGATCTGTCTGATAATCAATTCAGCAGTGAAATCCCCTCTTCTTTAGGTCATTTAACAAGTCTCCAATACATGTAAGCTTGTTTAAGTTACTCCAACTTCAGTGCCGTTTATCAAAAGCTTACCGGATAACATTCTTGGCCATCAAAATGAACTGTTGGTAAACGTCTTTTATCCGGTAAGCACTTACTGGTTGCCAAGTGACACCCAGTAAACGCTTACCCGGTATGTGTTTGATAAACGGTCCTTAAAAGCTGTTTACAATCATGTTCTTATAATCATCTGAATTTGGGTTCTTTCTTGTATCAATTTTGATTCAGGAGGCTTAACAACAACAGTCTTTCTGGACCAATTCCTCAGTGGGTAGCTAACATGACTCAACTTGCCTTTGTGTAAGATTTCTTATAATCTTGATTAACATCACACATACAATCTGATCGAAAAATGAGGTTTTTCCACTCGAGTTGCGGTGCACTGGTTAAACTTAAGGGGGTGCAGTCGAAATCTCATTTTTCCAAGTTAGAATCCAGACGCTGCCAAAGCCCTTCTCGCCTAATAACCCACGGTTACCCATTGGTTCAGTGGTATATGGGTTACAGACTTACAGTATAGCCCGCCCACTGTCCTAGGAGATCAAGGGTTCAGACGGTGTGTGAACGAGGGTATTTGTCGTATATAAATATTATATATTTTCGAAACAACGGGTGGCCCACTCGCGTAGGCTCGTTAGGTAGATCCTCAAGTGATTGTTTGTGAAAAGTGGTCTTCATTAAGTACCATTCATCATGATGAAAACATTGTGGTCATGTAGGGTACAATGGATAAAACATAATGTGTGAAGAGACATCTTGATCAAGTGATGTTGTTGTCGAAATTTTGTTTGTTTAAGTACCGTTGGTTATGGTAAGTTTAAGGTCGTGTGGGGTCCATTCCGTAGACTGTTTTACAGGACGTCAAATATGTTTAAATGTCGATTTTGTTGTTCTGGGATGATTATGTGGGGCCCACAAAATAGAAACAGTTAAGGGATTCAGACACCTGCAGCTTGTAGTTTGTCACATTGATTACAACTACATGAATCTTATGGATTTTTTGTATTCATGGCAGGGACTTATCCTTCAATAACTTAAGTGGCCCAGTTCCAAGATTTCCTTCTAAGACCTTCAGGTAAGCTCTCTGGTACTATAAATCATACAAATCAATCTCAATCGTTTATTTACTTTATATCTGGTTCAATAAATATCTTGATTGTTTCTTAATATAAAGTGTTGATCATGATAAATGAACTCTTATAATCTTCCATAAATATCAAAATCATGATAATTTCTATAGATATCTTAATTTCTTGGTTTGCATGGTTACCAATGGTTGAGTGTGTAAAAGATCTCTTCTCTCTCTCTCTCTCTCTCTCTCTCTCTCTATATATATATATATATAGTCGGGTTCAAACAAAAACATTGACCAAATAAGAAAACACGACAATAGTCAAATCACATGTGATTTTACACTAAATTCGTGTAAAATCACATGTGATTACGCCCGAGTGCTTTCAGTGGAAAATCACATGTGATTTGTTGTTCCCCTGCTCTCTTATTTTGACTTATTCTCGTTTGTCCTCCTTCTATGTATATATAATGCTTGTATGTATATATATATATAGGGGCTTAATCAAATGAGAACTGATTAGTTTGTGGTAACTGTGAGATCCAAGCTCAACCACAAATCAACGGATAAATTAGGAAATTAATAATTATGGTAGTTTGAGTTAAAATTATAATTAGAGGACATTTTACGTATTTTTAAAAAACTCTTCTCTCTCCTCTCTCATCTCTCCGACCTCTAATCTCCGGCCTCCGGTGAACAAAAATCCGGCAGATACCAAGTAATCACAAAGATACACTATGTGATACCCATTGTGATATACAGTGTTACTCAAACTAATAATTTCGTGCTTGAATGGGCCCATATATATACACACACACATATATATATATATATATATGTATATATATATATGTATATATATATGTATATATATATATGTATATATATATATATGTATCTATTTCTCTTAATAGATTTCTCTTAATGGCAGCATTGTGGGGAACCCTTTAATTTGCCAAACAGGATCTGAGCAAGAATGCTATGGAATGACGCTTATGCCCATGTCGATGACTTTAAACACTACTCAAGGTACGATATAAAACTACATCTTAAAAATTAAATAAAAAAATATAAGGGGTATAATTGAAAAAAACCCCTAGACTTTATTGAAATGCTACTTGAAGTAACCTTTTCAAACGGGTTGTTTCAATAAGCTCAAAAAATTAAGATAGCTTATAATCGGCAAATCGATTTCATTCCCTGTGTCGTTTTTGAAGCTCCTAGCACCTTGCCGAGATCAAGAAGTCACAAGATCGCTCTTGCCATAAGTACAAGCCTCGGATGCATCTCTTTGCTCATCTTTGGACTCGCATTGATATGGTGGAGACAAAGACATAACCGAGAACCCTTCTTTGACGTCAAAGGTTCGTAAACCATAGCAATCTGTTCAACTTTCTTGCAATCATCACTACAACAAAATCAACTTTATAGAACGTCAAATATGTCTAAATATTCTAATAGACTGTTTTATAGGACTTAAGTTTATATGACCGAATTATAACTACAATAAAATCAGGTTTATAGGACATCACAAATGACAAATCTCTTGAGTGTCATAATAAATTGTTTTATAGAACCAAACAAATATGTGTCATAACTCTCACGTAAAAGTGTTGCAACAGTTTTTTGAGTAAACTATGTTTTTCCTCCCTGTGTTTTGCTAAAAATTATGATTTTTGTCCTTATGGTTTTGAAATTGCAGTTTTTGTCCCTATGATTTATAATTTCTATTTTCGTTCTTATAATTTATAATTTATTGTTGTTTTGGTTCCTGTTATTTATAATCATTTACTGTTTTGGTCCCTTAAACTTAAAGGTAGGAATTAATCTAGGGACGAAAATCATAATAAATTGTAAACCATGGGGACAAAAATCGAAATTATTAACAAACCACAGGGATGAAAATCGTAATTTACTCTAGTTTTTTTATGACAGTCCTGTTAGCTTTTCTTTTAGTAAGTTTCTTATTTCCAAAAGGTGTCGTATAAAAAATGTAATATGACGCTTTATTTTTAAAATGTCCTAAAAAACTATTTAAGATGTCCAAAAACATCCTATAAACCTATTGATATGAAACATATACATTTGTTTCTATAAACTTAAGTCCTATAAAATAGTCATTGAGGTTTTACGGTGTCCTGTAAACCCGATTCCGTTGTAGTGTATTTAACTTCTTGCGGGTTCTTCACTGCAACAAAATCGGCTTTATAAATATGTCTAAACGTACTCGTCTTGATTACCACATCGCAGATAGGCATCACGAGGAGGTTTCGTTAGGAAATCTAAGAAAGTTCCAATTCAGGGAACTTCAAATCGCGACACACAACTTTAGCAACAAGAACATATTAGGGAAAGGGGGTTTCGGGCATGTCTACAAAGGGCAACTCCAAGACGGAACTTGTGTTGCCGTGAAGCGGCTGAAAGATGGCGGTGCCGCTGGCGGAGAACGGCAATTCCAAACGGAGGTCGAGATGATCAGCCTAGCGGTACATCGGAACCTTCTGAGGTTATACGGGTTTTGTATGACTCAAACCGAGAAGCTCTTGGTCTACCCTTATATGTCAAACGGCAGTGTAGCATCCCGTCTCAAAGGTACCATCTTTTATAACAAAACCGGTTTATTGGACGTCAGATGTGTCTAAATTTCCTAAATTCATATATATATATATGCCTAATCAAATGAGAACTAATTAGTTTGTGGTAACCGTGAGATCTAATCTCAACCACAAATCAATAGATAAATTAAGAAATTTATAATTTTGGTAATTTTGAATTAAAACTTTAATACACGGACATTTTAGGTATTTTAAAACTCTTCTATCTTCTCTCTACTCTCTCCATCCTCCGGCCACCGTCCTCCATCCTCCGGTGATACCACAATGGTATCACGATGCATCATATATGTGCTTTCTGTATCACACTGAGGTTGTTTGTGTGGTCGATCGGAGATGTAGCACAGTGGTATTACAATGCATCTTATATATGCTTGGGTATCACACTGTGTCTTTTGTTTAACAGAGTCAATATTTTTAGGTATCACCGGAGGACGGAGAGAGAAGAGATAAGAGAGGAGAGAAAATACCTAAAATGTTCTTGCATTAAAATTTTAATTCAAAATTACAAAATTATAAATTTCCTAATTTATATATTGATTTGTGGTTGAGATTGGATCTCACGTATACCACAAACTAATCAGTTCTTTCTTGAATGGACCATATATATATAGACTTAGGATCATGTGAGAACAAAGTTTTTTCGTAAGACCTGTAAGACCAATTTTCAACCCTTCGATTAAATATATAATCTAAATATTCATAATCACAAAATTGCCACGAGATTTCTCAATAATCACAAAATTGCCACCGTGCAACTTTAGACCATTAGACCATTAGTTTATAAAGTTGATCAATGAACATAAATTGGTCTTACGAGTCTCACAAAAAACATTTGGTCTCACGTGAACCCAACCATATATATATATATATATATATATATATATATATATATTTATAACCTTCAAAACGTCATATTAACTTATTGTAACACATTTATATACGACAGCGAAACCAGTATTAGATTGGGGCATAAGAAAGAAGATCGCATTAGGGGCAGCAAGAGGATTGCTATACCTTCACGAGCAATGTGACCCCAAAATCATCCATAGAGACGTAAAAGCCGCAAACATATTGCTCGATGATTGTTGCGAGGCCGTCGTCGGTGATTTCGGGTTGGCAAAGCTTCTTGACCATCAAGATTCTCACGTAACCACGGCCGTTCGTGGCACCGTCGGTCATATAGCGCCGGAATATCTCTCCACCGGCCAGTCGTCGGAAAAAACCGACGTTTTCGGGTTCGGAATCCTTCTCCTCGAACTCATCACCGGCCAACGAGCTTTGGAGTTCGGAAAAGCCGCTAACCAAAAAGGAGCCATGCTCGATTGGGTAAGCTTCATATTTCATCATCTCCGGCGACCTAATAGTTCAGAGATGGACAAAATGGCCTGACCCAGGACCGACGGTCCTAGACCGGTTATAAGGAGCAGTCATTGAGAATGGGCCGGGAGTTTTTGATCGGGATCGGTTACCCACCATCGCCGGAAAAATAAAGATTCCGTCTTTCTTATTACTGTGATTTTGTTTTTTTTTTCAGGTGAAAAAGATTCATCAAGAAAAGAAATTGGATATTTTAGTGGATAAAGATTTGAAGGAGAATTACGACCGGATCGAGTTAGAGGAAATCGTGAAAGTGGCATTACTGTGCACCCAATATCTTCCCGGCCACCGGCCAAAGATGTCGGAAGTTGTACGGATGCTGGAAGGCGATGGGCTTGCAGAGAGATGGGAAGCTTCGCAGGGAGTTGAATCTTGTTCCAAGTTCCGTACGCCGGAGTTATCGTCGTCGGAGAGATGTTCCGATCTCACCGATGACTATTCGTTGCTTGGTCAAGCCATAGAACTCTCTGGGCCCAGATAAATTAGCATTTAAATATAATTTTTTTTGGAAGATGGTTTTCATGATTTTATAGGTTTTGTAAAGGTTTTAATTTTGTATTTTGAATTATTAAAAAAATAATATTTTTTTATACGATTAATGCATGAGTTAGGGTTGTTTGATAGTTATTAAATGTTTTGATGTAAAATAATTAAGTAGTCAGAATGATTAAGAAGCTCTCATGATATATTACAATATGAAATATAATTGTTTGGTAATTATTTATGATGAAATTATGATGCTGAATAGTTAAGGAAGACACATGATACAAAATCATTCAGAGAGTTTTAGAACTATTAAGAGCCAGACTTTGTTTTTGTCAAACAAGATTTATCTCTTAACGATTTAGATGTTGTCTCTTAATTGAACTATTAACAGGTAAACAAACAACTCATTAAAGACGACAACATGGTCAAGGATCAGAGAATTACAATGCTTCAATTCTCATCTCTATCGAATAAATATCTCCTGTATTAAATTCTCAAATATTATTTTTATCACCCAATTAAATGAGTATACGTGATCAAATAAAAAATGTGAATAAAAACGGGAAAATTGCATGAAAAGTAACATATTTTAACTTGATTCTTATTTTAGATAACGTACGTTCAAAACTTTCATTTTTGTACCTAAGATGTAAAGTTTTCAACATTTAAGTAACCGGTTGAAGACTAATTTTAGATTAAAAAAGACTGGTTTTAGATTAAAAAAAATCATGTTACAAACCATGTCAACAAATAATATTGAGTTCAATACTACATCATTCGCCACATCAGCATGATAACTGGTTAATGCTTCAACCGGTTACTCAGGTACTTAAATATTTAAAACTTTACATCTTAGATACCAAAATGGAAGTTTTGAAATGACGTTACCCAAAATAAAAATCAAATTAAAGTACGTTACTTTTTTATGCAATTTGCTCAATAAAAATTATATAGATTTAAAATAAATAAAAAAAATATCTCTTAATTTTATTGGTGAAATTATAATAACAAATTATTTATTTCTGTTGGTGTTAATTTTTGGGACGTTTCCCGGTTTTAGAAAATTTTACATTATCTCTCTTTATCTATTTTGAATAATCTGTTGGAGCAAATTTTTTAACGAATATCTTCGTTTTGATAGTGTTGGATATAGTTTGGGGAGAGATCATGACATGTATATTGATAATCGAAGGATAATATAAGAAATATGATGAGTTAAACGAAACCCTGAAAACCGGTTATAAGACCGAAAATCGGGATCGGTTGGGGTTTTTGTTGATCTTCTCTCTCAGTGATTTGATGATAATTCATTTTCACTTATACGTTGTATTTATGTTTATGTATTTTCAGTTCCAGCGATCTTCACTGAGTATGTTCAGTGATCGTTGAAGAACTTGCATTGTAATTCTATCAGAGACATCAATACTTCAAGAAGACAACACTCACACTAAAGAACCTTCAGCAAACGTCAAAGACTGAAACTGAAGATTAGAGACTGACGAGTACATGATCTGAAGCGGTATTCAGTGATTACAAGTCTGTCTACATATGTGTGAAGACTGCTCAAGCTTCAGCGAATGATGATGAGACCTTCAGGTCATTCCAGCATTCACCGATCAAAGGAAGCTTGCTTAGCACGATTGTTGTTGTCTTGTCCTTATGCACACAAAGGACAAAACCCATAGCCTTATGAAAGTTGGTACAGTACGGAGCCGACTAGTCGACTCTATTGTCTAACAACTTTAGGTATGGATGTTTGCTCATGAATAGTGTTTTTTTGTACTATTCACTGTAGCAAAGGACAAGTCTTCCTCTTAAGGCTTGACACGCACTCTAACCCTACTATATTGCATTAAATGTTCATTTAATGCACTRTGTATAAATAGAAGTGTTTCTTCTCCATGCAGAGTGTGTGCAACTCACTCTCTAACCCTAATTCTTACTTCAAACATTTTATAGCTTAAGTAAAAGATCTTCTCTACAACATTTCTTTTATTGTATTTGCTAAGACTTTGTGTGTAACTAAAGATTGTTTAGATAAGTTTTTACTACATTATCTTTCCGCACACAATCTTGTAAAATCTGTATTGATCTTCTTTATCAATATATATTTTAAATTTAAAAATATTGTGTTTGTATTCATCATCCCCTTCTACAAACTGTTTATCTTCTTGTAGACCCTCACGGGACCAACAGTTTTTGGTAGTTTTGTGGGACCGGTTATGGGACCAGCTATGGACCGGCCCGGCCTGAAAATTCAAATAAATTTATAAATAAATATATTTTTAAATAATTTTATAATGTATTTCTATAAGACAATGTAATTTTAATTATTTTAAAACGCATTTTGAAAGTGTATTTGAGTGACTCAATTGTAAATTTTATAATATATTAAAAATATATATCATTGATTTTTTTTTTTTTTAAATCTTATTTTTTAATGCCGGGACCGGGACCAGCGGCCCATAATCGGTTATGAAGTACCTTGACCGGTCTTACCATTTTCGACCAAGACCGGTTATGAGAAAGCTTGGGACCGATTAAGTCGGCCCGGCCCAACCTGGGATCGGTTTTTAACCATCACTAGTCCTCAAGTTTAGGGTAACAAAATTGTAAATTAAACGTTTTGGGCCACTCCTAAACTTCCAAACGGGCTTACCAATTTGGGCCATGGAGGCCCAAAAGTAAGCCCAACAACAAATCTTGCAGCAGCACAACATCAATCCTGAGAAGTTACAAAGGAATTGGTTCAGAATTTTAAACTTTTGAAGCAAAATTAAAGCATAAATTAGTCATACTGTTAAAGGCTTAGACAAGATTCAATAAATGTAAACACAAGAGAATAAAAAGGACTCAAATGTTAAATTGGGGAAATAAAAGACTTAAAAACAGTGTTTTAAGGTTAATAAATGAACACATATCAAATGCACATTCAGATGAGATGCACCAAGATGAAATGCACCAGATCAATCCTCATATCAAACGCGATTCATGAGTGAGTTTGAGATTATAGGTGATCAATGGTCCAAATCTCTTTTTATGCTTCTGACGTTAACTCTTTTTCTTACACAATCCATCTCCTCATGTAATATTTGTTCATTTTCATATTACATTAAAGAAGTAGTAGGAAATAATTATAATTTTTATTTGGGGAAGAAGAAAATTATTTAATTTATAATTTTACACCGTTTAAACATTTCTACATAAAATCAAAATCAAAGGGGTACAAATGCATCTGCGAGTCCCTTTTTACTTGCATCACTACAACAAAAACATGGACCCGGTGCATTACTGCTGGTATGATCGCACCAAAGATGGTGGTGTCTGATTGATTTTAGTTTGGGCTTCAAATGTCAAAAGTGTCTGGAGATCTCATGTTCAAATCTAAGGAAGAATAAAAATCTCGTTGTGGCCATTGAGTATCAAATGCAGTGACTCAGGGCTACCTGCAAAACAAGTGGTCGTCCTGAAATTAGTCGACTTGCATAGCATGTTGGATATCCAGGTTAATAAAAATACAACATGGATCAAAGTTCTTTAATTCAGTTTCTATTTTTTCACTTTTTTATAAATATCTTTTAATGTAAAAAATACCTCAATTAAACATATTATATAATAACATTAATATTTAAATCCTACATGATTTACACATTTTTAAAATGAAAAAAATTTGGCTTGTGGAAATTGTAAAGAACCAAACCTTAAAAAGTCATTCTTAAATTAAGTGGATTTAATGATTAAAGTCATTTAATTATTGAAGTGGAATTTGTACTACTAATCACTCAATTAATACCAATTAATTAATTAAAAAATTCCAAATAAATAAAACATTAAAACATATGTGGATTTAAATCACTTAGGGGTTGTTTGGCAGTTGCTGAATGGTTTTGTGTAGAATCATTAAGTGGTCAGAATGATTAAGAGGCTCTCATGATATAGTGCAAAATGAAATATAATTGTTTACAATGAAATTAGGGCTCTTAGGCCTAGGATACAAAAACATTTAGAGAGTTTTAGAACCATTAAGAGGCAAACTTTTTTTTGCCAAACAAGATTCATCTCTTAATGAAACTATTAAGAGGTAAACAAACAACCATTTAATGTGTTTATTTATCATCTTTATTTCATTAATTTTTTTTGATAAAGATTAAACGATCATTTACCAAAATATTTACTCGGTAAATATTTATTGTAAAATTCAACACTTACTTATTTTATCGGGTAAGATTCTAGTCCATTAAAACGACATTGTATGCAACAATTTATCTAAGTGTTGACTGTGGAAGAGTCATCACCCTTACTAACTTGGTAAGATTCTCGGTTACAGTCGTCATTTTTACTAGACAAGATTTTTGGTTCTGTCATATTTATTTCGTAAAGTAACGCTTACCAGTTAAGCGTTGAGTAAACGACTTAGATCATCTCCAACCCAACACTAAAAACACAAAAATGGAGGTCTATTCATCTTCAATCCAACACTAAAACACTAAAAAAATGGAGGTAAAAAATGTTGGCTTCTATATTTGAATGTTAATAAAGTAGGTCTCTAAAATCAAATACTAAGTAATAAATACATATATTGTTTTTTTGTTATTACTAATATAATATTAAATATTTTTCTTTATTAACCTGGATATCTAACCCGTTATGCGAGCCGACTAATCCCAGGACGACAATCTGCTTTGCAGATAGCCTGAAGTCACCGCATTTGAACCTCCAGTGGGCACAAGAGGATTTTTATTTCTCCTTGGATTTGAACCTAGACCTTCTGGTACTTTTCATCTTTTGAAGCAAACTCAAACCAATCAGGCACCACCCTTGTGATTTATTAAAGATGTTTTTAGTATGTGGTTGAAGAAAAAGATCATATATAAGAGAATTTATACAAATTTAGAACTAAATTAATTCGGGGTTAAATAAAAAGACAAAAATACCCTTTATGCATAAATATGTAATAGACTTGCTAAATTGTGTTGCAAGTACCATAATTGCTTTTTCAATTTTTTTAAACCTAAAATAATAAACTAACAAATTTTAAGTTGAAACATGGGTAAAATTGGAAAATAGAAAGATTCGTGTGCCAAAGTTACACGTTTCGTGGGGCCATTATGGACAAATTCACACCCATTTTTGCACTCATTCTTCATCTCCTTTAATGGTTGCTTCCATAAGTATATTTGAAATTACACATATACCCTTTCCAGCAATATGATACAATAAATAAGCAATCATCTTTTGAATCCTAAAATATATAAAAACTTTATCAGAAAAAAAAATATTAAAATATTATAGATATTTAACTAAAATTTCTATACTATATTATAAAATATTTGACAAAAACTCTTAAAAACCATTTTTTATGTATAAAGTCTTGTTTATTAATACATATTACTTAAATTTCAATATTACAAATAATTTTGCGTAAGTATGACTTATTAAAACTCTATTTTTATATTTATGTAACTAACTGCAGATAAACATAATCAAATACAAGATAAACATCAACTTTAAATATAAAAAATTTGAAATATAATTGAGATAATCATTGAGTTCTAGTATTATGTTTAATTATAATCTTTATAAAAAAATATATTATTAAATCAAAAATAAATTAATTTGTTATTAAATCTAAATTATGTTATAAAAAATTAAATTAAAAAAGTTACACAAAAATACAAGAACTATTAAATAGTTAATTTGATTTATTTTTTCAAAATTTTATGTTATCTTTAAATTTATATTTCATTCAAAAATAAAAACATTATCGCTTTCTCAAAAATACATAAATCGTATTATATCGATACAAACAAAAGAATAAAAACTAAACATTAAAATAAAGATTTATCTCATTATATTGCACGAATATCCTTCCAGTTTTTTTTAAATAATTATCAAATTAAATATATTACTATTTTTAAGAATAATATATTGTATGTACAATCTTTTAAATCTTTCAATAAATTATAGACTAACAAAATCATGATGATGAAGAAAACAAAGACCCCCTCCCCTCCACCCCTCTCAAAAAGCACTAGGGGCAATTTTGTCAAATCACTCTTAACCTCAATTCTTGCACTATGACAATCTTGCATAAGCATAAATACATTCATAATCAAATGAATTCATTGCATTTCAAACAAACAAACTATAAGAAGAATCATCTAGAGAGAGAGAGAGAGAGAGAGGAGGTCGTCGAAAATGACACCAGCCCAGAACACCATTGCCGCCACCACCACCATCGATGGCGGACTAGAGTGGAGTTCTCCAATACCCTACCTATTTGGTGGCATGTTTATAGCGTTTAGCCTGATAGCATGTGCATTGATCATTCTAGCATGCTCTTACAAGAAAGTATATTCAAATAACACCAGTGGCGGTGATGAAGAGAAGCCATATTCGCTACCCAACAATACACAATTAGCGTCAGAGATTGTCATCGTCATGCCTGGAGACACCAACCCTACCTACCTTGCGAAGCCTCTTCCACACCCGTATGATATTCACCAAGTTTAAACTATACGTATAAATCTATATATGTGTGTATACACACACACACACAAATACTTTCAAACTTGGATCAAAGATGGTGTTACAATAAGTTGTTAAGATGCAGATATGTGACCTAACAAGTTTTGTCACTGAAGTTGGACGAGGTTAGATTGCTATTAGTACCTCCTTATTTCACACACTAAAACACACAATCATGGCGGCAACACCAACAACAACCACCACCTCATTGTTGTTGTTTTGGAGATCTGGTTCATTCTTGATTTATGTGTCTGAAGGGATAACTGCAACGCTTGTTCTCATAGCAGCGTTGGCTATCTTGGCTTGTTCTTAGTAGAATCGTCAATCAATATCCACCATTGTTCGCAATGTTGAAAATGTCAAGGCAACGAGAGTTCATGTTGAAGCAAATACTGGGCCTAATACAGTGGTGATTATGACTGGTATTTAATTATGACTTATTTAGCCGCTACCACCAACAGTGTAAACTGGTTGATTTCTTTGTAAATTATGAGGAATAACAATCTTGACCACCCAACTTGTTAGACTCCGAAATCGAATATTATCGTGATTTATTATTTATTCACGGAGGAAAGAGGGAGGCTTATGTCTAATAGTAAAAGTTAAGGGGTCATAAATGCAAGTAATTCGAAGTATAAGGAATCTTATATGTACAATTTTATTTTAACTTCGTATAAAAATGGCGAACAAACGTAAAATATTGCGCGGGAAGAAAGTTCCGATCCGGCGACGGAAAAGGAGATCAGAGGTAAACTGAGTTCATTTTCTTGAAGTTGATTTCACATGGATTGATTTTTCTTTCTTGTTTCTTCTATGATGTACGATTAAGATCATTTGACTAGATTACACCTTTGATTTCAAATATTCAGTGTTTGTTGTTGACGAGTATAATCAAATGATTTCCGATGGGTGAAATGCAACTTAGGGTTCATACTAGATGAAGTTCTAGAACTCGAACTGTTTGAATGCTTGATGGTTTGTTTGAATTCATGATTAATGATAATATATTCCAAGTCAGAGTAATGCCAAAAATTTACATGTTTGTATATTTGTTTGTTTGTCCATTCTCGTAGCTGGATTGATCAGTTATGGTTCATAAATTATTTGTTGTTCTAGTTCTTTGTGTAACTTGAATCATCTACGATTTTATTGACTGGAGTTCATAAGCTGTATAGAAACTCTACAATTGGTGATTCTGGAATGATTTGATATTTAGGGATTCCTTGCATTACTTAAATAATTCCAAAGCATGTGAGAATGCTATAAACGTTAGCTATATCACTCTATTATGAAGAAGGATTGTGTTACCATGTAGGTTATTGATGCTGTTTGATTGATGTGTTTAAATAATGCAACTATTGGATAAGAAAGAAGTTGGTTAGGTTGTTTAACGAGCTGCAGGATATACGTGTTACCATGGCCTGTTAGTTTCGAATGTTGTAATTTTCATCTTTCTTTGTTGTCGTGGAAAGAGTATATGCATATGTGGTGTGCAGAACTCAAAAAATGGAAGTTTTCCTTTTCTTGTTCGACTAGGAGTGTGAGAATATGTGGAACCCCTAGATTTACTCTCCAAAAGAGCCCTTGAGAGAAGGGAGATTCCAACATATATCGAGGAGAAATAGTCCAAAGCTAGCCGATGCAGGACTCTAGCAAGGAGTAACGGATTTTTGAAGCATATGGGCTCGCTTTTCTAGCTTGTTTCACGAACATGACAGGTGAGTTTGGAAGTGTTACCATGATTTAAATTGAATTCTACAAGAACATATAACAGCATAACCAGGAAAATATGAATCGAGACAGAGAAGTGTGGTACTTGGATGAAGAACTTATCTTCGATCCGAAGCATAGAACCTTCAAACAAAAATTTGAAAGAGAACAAGTCTTTTCACACAAAATTTGGAGAATCGAAAGAAGACCAAACAACAAAATAAAGTTTCTCATGCTATTTCAGAAACTAAGTTGTGTTACAAATGAAGAGGAGAAACATTTATATACGCTCCTAACATCTTTAGAAGTAAATCAAATAAGATGCTGAACTTGGAAAAGTGGAAAATTTGCTAGACTTGTAAGCTTTTAGATGCTGATATCTCGGCTGTTTCTCTCTGTGTTTGCTAGAGATTTCATTGTACTTCAGATAGAACTTCCACCAAACAAAATTAGCATAAAATGACTGAAACCATCCCCTGCATAGGACTTTCATTCAGTGTTGAACATGCTAAAAAGTTCTTTGGGATTTAAGATTTCATGGCAGGCATGACCGAGTATAATACTGAAATGATGCCAAAAGTGATACTGCTTTGCTGCCTTTGCCTAAAAGACATTGTGGTAGAGACCACATTTCTAAGTGCTCCGGTCTCATCGATGCAGCTTTTGAGCTGTATGTTTGTATTGGTGTGTCAATTTCCAGTCGCTGATTTTTATTGATTGGTTCACTTTGTAGTAGATTGATTATTGATGCCCTTCATTAGTTGGACTCTTCTGTAAATTTTACGAGTAATTAGCTCATATACGTCCAAGTAAATTTATAAATAATACATGCAATCCGTATTGCCTAAAATAGAAGATTGGGCGACATCAGAACGCGACTTGGAAAGTCGCCTACTAGCACAAGCACAACCAATAGAGATTTGCCATTTCGAGGGCTTGTATTGGCCAAGTCTTTACTAAAATAGGCAAGTTCTTGTACTTTTAGAGCTTCATTGTGTAATTTTGTAAGTTGTAACCTCCCATTCGATTTTATGCTAATATGAATGATCTCTCCTCTCCTGTGGATGCACACTATACACCGATAGTGGAACTACCATAAATTTCCGTGCCATTTTCTTGCTTTCTGTATCCATGTTGCTCATTGTGTCTATGCTATTAGTTGCACATTGGTGATCATTGTTGGTGTTTGGGTTAATTGAGATGGTTATTAATCCGTATCTGTATTCCCTATTGTTGTTGGGTTGTTACATTGATCTCGTCATTGCTTGAGACTTGAGGTACTGTTTGGTTTGATGACGTTTCTCCCAACATCAAGAAAGGCCGAACACGTTAGAAAGACCAAGATAGAAACAACGTGGAAGTCTGCCTCAAAAGCCACTATTTTTGTTCTTAGTAAATTTAGATAGAAGACAACTGCAAAAAATTAAGAAAATACATACACATGAGCGGTCCAACTGTAGAAATTATAAGTTGATACTTTGTGCACTTTGATGCTATCTTAAGAGCCAAGGATTAGCTAACCAATTCAGCCATTCAGGGAGTTCCTGCATGAAAGTTAGGACTTGGGTGGAACTTTTCACATGTTTTTCTTTTTAGCAGCAATTTTTCTCGGCCATCTTGTTCTAGCTTATCCTGTCCACCTTTCTCACCCATAGTGATGGCTACTGTCTTGTGATTAACCTCAAAAGTACTTCCCTTTACTACTCACGATAGTGTACTGAACTTTACCTATATCATCTCATCTTCAATGATTCATATTCAAACCTTTTCCTTATTTAGCACCCCTTTCTATTTGTGTAGAAAACTGTCTTTTATGGTTGGCAGGTTCTTAATGAAGACAGAAACCGATAGAGTCGGAATGTGATGGTCAATTCCAGGACATTTTCTGAGTTTTTGATATATGCTGCTACTAAAATTTGTAGTTGCTTCAAGTTTCTACACGATGCAGTGATGAATATATACTTGAAACAAGTGAAAGGTTTTTATTTATTTAAATGTGTGATAATAATTGACTTAGAAACCATCAATAAAGAAAGAAAAGGCTCATATCTCTCTAGAAGAAGTCTGAGGAACTTGAGATGGAGGGGTTTGAAGATTCAGTTCTGAAATAAGCTGTGTGGCTATGAATATCATCTAGATCCTCTAAAGTAGAATAGGTGCCATTAAGCTGCAACTTAGTGACCATTTCGCGAAGTTCTGAAGCTTCCTCCTTAAGCTGAGCATTCTCTTGAAGAACTTGATCATAAGTCCCTGAGAACTTGTTCAGTTTGTCAACAAGTTGGTGGTTTTCATTACGCAGCCAAATAACCTGTGACCAAAGTTCATCTAGGTGCTTCTGCTTGCGCATGCGTGATCTGCGTGCTGACTCTCTATTAGATATCATTCTTCTCTGCTTCCTCTCATTGATGAGGCTTAGTTGTTGCTCATCTGCTTCATCAGAAGTCCAGTTGCTGCGGATATATGTCGATTGCAGGTTCATTTCTTGAAATTGAGGGTTCGTATCAAGATGATAGACCTGGTTTACGGGTGTGTCAACATTAAACTGCAAAATTGGTGAGTTGTTTAGGGTCTGGTTTGGTTGAAGAAGGTAGAGGGAATTAGTAAGCTCACCGGCTTGCATGGCTGTTAATATTTGTGTAAACTTTGGCAAGAATTAGGCCTGGACTAGTACTATAACTAGGAAATCAGGTGGAAGTTGTTATTGGAAGGCGAAGGAGAACATGAGGTAAGGACTTTTTATAGTATTTGAAAAGGTTGAGAGGGCCCCAACATTATCATCTCAGACTCAAAGTAGTAGCATAAGGCTCCTTGATTGTGGACGAGGGGTACTGTCTGTTGAACTACTGTTTTATGTGTGAGATACTTTCACTAGTTTTACTGTATTCATATTTTACACACTCTCCATTTTTGCCTTTTTGCACACAGTATTATATTGGCCATGAGCCGAGGGTTTTCATGGAAACAATCTCCTAACCTCTACGGGTTGAAGGAAGGTTTGTGTACACCCTACCCTCAAACCCTACTTTTAAGTGAGATATACTGGGTTTGTTTGGTTTATATGGCTACTTTTGTTTACATACAGGTTTACTTGTAATTCATACCCTTTTGCTATTTGCAAGGCATGTGGCCCTTTCTGGTCATGAAATGGTCAAGTGAATACATGATTGTTCCTAGACATTTTCTTATGGCCAATGCTGGGCATCTTTTTATTATTATTATAGATAGAATTTTAAAGCTTAAAATAACACTAAAATAAATATATCCATCTCTTTTACTTCATCTTTAAAAATCACGGCTTCTTGTGGCGCAGTTAGGCACCAATCAGTGGCACATTATGGTAAAAGTTGGTGTTTTTTTCGTCATTATTTCATTAAGTTAACCCACCATAGCAAATGATTAGTTTTCAAAGCCATCTTGGAAGAAAAAACAAGCACCTTTAATTGTGATTGGTTAGTGGTCAACAAAGAGTAATTGTGATGTGATATATTACCAGATAATATCACCTCTGAATGTTTTCAAACCATGTACTGTTTCTCATGGACCCTATTCATATAACATTTTGATTACAATAAATATAGAGCGTTACTTATGACAAATGTTGCGATTAATAGATATACCATACAAGGGGGGGGGTTAGGGAGATGATAGTTAGGGTTCTAAAGGCTTGCGTTAGATTGAGTCGAGTTTTCTTTGCCTTTTTTTAATTCTGAAGTCTACTATGTGCTAGTCTTGACTATTCTTCTTGTCCTTGTATTTTTCTTTTCGTTCACGCTTTTGTACAAACCACTTTACCTTTTGGGGTAGAGGTCAGGACCGTATACATCCCACCCCTTCCGGCGGGATACTGGGTTTGTTTGGTTTGGTTTACTACCAGACCGGAATTCAATCGTATAGTTGGATATTTACGACTTGTCTGCTTATGGTAAGACTAAGCAGTAACTATTCTGATAATACATTAACAGAAGACTACGATCCTGGACATCTTACCTTATAAAAAATCGGAATTTAAGCCTGCTACAACAGTTAGCCCAGCTTTAACCGTTTAGGAAGCGGGGAAAACCCTTAAGAGGGAATGTAGTTTTAGGTGAAGATTCACTAATGAATAACTATAGCCACGCATACAGAAGTTCACTTCAATGGAGGGAAATGCCAATTTAAGCCTGCTACAACAGTTAGCTTAGCTTTAAACTTTCAGGAAGCGGGAAAAACCTTAAGAGGAAATGTAGTTTTAGGTGAAAATTCACTAATGAATAACTATAGCCATGCATGCAAGAAGTTCACTTCAATGGAGGAAAATGCCCTTCCCCTAAAACCATACTTTAGATCAAGTGATCAAAAGGATCATTAGACAGATATAGACTGCTCTTTCTTGTCTTGTCCTCCAATCGTTCTTGACATGCTCCATTTCTTTCTCTTGTTGCTCTACTTATATGTTTAAAAAATGTTGCCTTTTTTAAAGTGTACTATTTTCTTCATTCGGGTTTAGGTATAAAGGTGCCTCATGTGCATATTGTAGTATAGCTTAAGGGTTGTTTGGTTAGTTTTCCATTAAGTCCTATATGAATAAAGTTGTCTGTGTGTATTAATTTGTCTAAAGATTGAGAAATTTTTTTGGAAGAGATTCTTTTTATAGATGGAAGGAGTGTGTTTTTTTAATTGGGAGAGACAGGTTTAAAAAAAAACTTGGCTTTTTGCATAAAGCTCCCCCTAGAAGCTTACTGAATAAGCCACTTTCTATTTCATTAAGCCACTATTAACCAGTCACGTATAATTGACCAAATAAGTTGTGAGTCTCATTAAACTCATTAAGCTGCTAACAAACATGCAAGAATTTCTAGCATAATGCGGATGTTGATGCACATCAGGCATGGGGTCTGTTCACTACATTGAGACCGTGCAAGAATTTCTCGAGGGCGATAAGATATTCACTGAATGCAAATTAAAAGCTATTCAAAAATACAAAAACACAGGTTTAGCCTTAAGTTTGGGTGCTTAAACTTTATATGGACATAACTTCCTATATGATCTTGATAGAAAAATCTCTCTTTATTTATAGAAAATTGAATCTTCAGTGGCTCTGATTAAAATTATCATTTAGAATGCCATATCAATTGCTTTGATATGAATCATGACATAATAGAGAGAATGTGTGGATTGTAGAGGGTCCGAAATAAATGATTGATTGTGAAAAAAATAAATCCCCATCTTACTGTCAGATTTTTGTTGTTTTCTATGTGTCATACTTTTAACCCCTTGAGTTACCAATTATACCCTTGATATCATTGGGGATTCTCAAGTGTTCAAGACAAAAGACAAGGAGATTACTGGAAAGTAATATGACAAGATAAGGATAGTGTCCTTAACTTACGGACTGCGTCCCGCACGGAGGGTACCTGATTTAACCCCAACCCCAATTTTATCAGTACCACAAATGATACAACCACCATCCCACGATAAAGTGTTAGTGGTGGTGGCGGTAGAATAAAACCAAACCAAATCAAACCAAATCAAACCAAACCAAACCATCAGTATATCCTACTTCAGAAGGTGTGGTTTGGGGGAGGGGGATGTGCACAGACAAAACCTCTACGGTTTTACCCAAAAGAGTAAAGCGCTGGTTTCAGTGAAAAAAGTGGTGGTAGACTAATAGCAGGAAAAAAGGAGAGTTCTTCGATGGAATTCCTGGCTTATGCCTCAACTAATATAGAACTGAGATTCTTTTGGTCCCTGTAGTTACATATAGATGAGGTGGCATTCTTTGTAGATATGTATTACTGTTTTCCTTATATGCACACACACACACACACATATATATATATATATATATATATAATCCATTCTACATAGATCACCATCTCTTGGATTAAACATTGTTTACTGAATATATAAATTAAGCATTACTTTTAACATGTAATCATCTGTGTTTAAAATCTTACATTACTCGAGGAAAGTTCATTTAAGAACATTAAATATTTTGAGAACCGAGGAATCGAACATTCATAATGAATATTATGGATATTCATTACTAACATTTGGTTATTACGGTTCTCAAAAATGAATTCATCTCTACATAACTTATACCGGATCACTATGTTTAAGATCATCTTTAGGAGGTAACACATGTTTTTTCTTTATTTATTCTTGCAATCTACTTCCCTTGTAGATATGGAACACGCATGTTTAAGGCTTCAACACCACCTCTTAATAGTAAAAAGTGAAATAAGACTTCAGAGTTCAACACCTCTTATCAATAAGAAAGTGAAATAAGACTTGAGGGCTCAACACCTCTTATCAATAAGAAAGTGAAATAAGACTTGAGGGTTCAACACCTCTTGAAAAGCATACAACATGTTAATGATTAACATCATTTTTATAGCCTTATAGGGGTATATGTTATCGAATACATAGTGAATGCTAGGCTTGTGGTGCATGATAAGTTCATCCTTGATGGGGTCTACTAACGAGCGCGCATGGGTGAAGTGAGCACCAACGCTTTTCCCTCCTCTTGCCCGACCCATCAGTTCAACAGTAAAGTTCCAAGAAAGACTTGTATATATGTGTGTGTGTGTGTGTGTGTATATATATATATAGTCTCAGGTGCTCCTATTATTATGATGGAATTGGAAGGCTTCTTGTGGATATCGTCACTTATAACCCCATTGGTCATTTGTGCACCCCACTTGAGTAACTTCAGTTTTTTCTTGAATAAGAATGAGAGGGCACACGATTTCCATACGACAATCATGTGTTCTACCAAGTCAAGTTCTTATCCTTTGTCGTCACACCAACTTTCTATTTTCCCCATTCAAACCATACACAAAAAAAAGGACATTGAATCATCTAGCTAGTAGTGCTTGGCCTTTTTAAACATAAAGTTTTGAGTACGTCTCAAATTATCTGTGCAAGTTAATTAAGGATCATTCGGCTTTCAGTGTTTTAAAAGAGTTATCAGTCTGTTTGAACCGTAGGATCTGCAGATTAATCTGAGCATTTGCTTGTATTTAGTGGCTCTTTAGTTATATTGAAATCTTGATTAAGGTATGTTTTAGTATGTGATTATGTGAACTTTAAGTATGAGTTATCCTATGAAATTTGTAATGGTATTATTTTATGTGGTAATAATGTAAGAGATTTAAAAGTTTCATTCCTGGTAGTTTTGGTACCCCACCCACCCATTGGTTGATATGGCAAAACTATATTTGCTTTCTCAGCAGTGATCTTGTTCTCAATTAGCAAAAGATATGGTTTATGTTGATGTCTCTTCCAACATGATTAACATTATGACTCTTTGGCTTGTGGACAAAGTACATTGCATACACTTTGTTTTATGGCTTCCGAAATCTTAAAATCCCACCAGACCAAACAAGTTGTGTTACCTCATCACCCCCCCCCCCCCCTTCTCTCTCTCTCTCTATATATATATATGGTCGACACAGGACCAGCTTAAGAGTTATGCATCTTCCAATCCGACGCTTATTTAGTTATTTAGTAGTTCACTGACCAAAAATTGAACGATCCTATTTAACAAATAGTCATTGAACTGCTTAGTTTCGCGAATATTCAATTTTGATCATTGGGTTGGTAAATGGACCGTCAAATATAGTCCCTCCATAGTCAGTA